CATAAGTAAGACAACTTGTCTTTATCATAAGGATGTTTGTTTGCCTTACTAAAAAAAAAAACAGCTAACGTCCAGTGGAACCAAAAATATCGCAGCTATTTAGACATTTCCTCTGATCTGCAGCGCAGTCTTTGATGTATTTCCTCCAGCCTCCCAGTCACAACATTGACCGGCCGCTCCTATCGCCGCAGTACCGTATAGCCACTCACCGTTCTGGCGCCGGCCAGTCGCGTGGCGGTCTCACGGGCCTCTGGTGACGTCATCCCCCCTCCGCTCCCCCCCCCCTGTGCGTGCGTGCGTGCAGTCTGGCTCTTGTCTGTCATCGCGCACTGCACTCCGGGAGGGGAGCGGGGTGGGGGGGGGGGGGGTGCAGGGAAGGGTCTTCTCGCGGCTTCGGTGGATGGTTGGGGGCTCTTGCAGGCTAATGGAAGGCCTCTGAACCGTTCTGGAAGGTCTCGTGTAAATGAAACATAAAATACTTGAAACGTTCAGTAGATAAATGATGGCGTCTGATACCTACAAGTTTATGATTATGTATGGCGTATTCGCAACGTGACGAACCTTACCGATGCTCATAAGTAAATGATACTCGGTGAGTTCTAATGTGAGCCAAGTATCACAAATATTTTCAATTTCTGCTAGACGAAATTCACCAAATAAGGGCGGAAACTGGAATGCGGAAAGAGTATTCTTCAACTCAGAGCCATTCCCAGCCCACGGCCCACATTCAGTCCCTGGTCGTCTGTTTCTCAGTCTGTCGTGCTGCTATCGGTTTGTGGTCTCTGGGACTCGTGTGGTCGAGTCTGTACGAGCCCACGCGGGGACAGTAGGGGTACCCATTTTTGGGTCAATTTTCCAAATTTTAGGTGGGGGTGGATTTTCCCATTATTTGGTCTACTCTGATTCCAGCTGTGCCAAAAATAGCAAAATCAAACGATTTCTAGGGGTCGCGAATTCAAAATGAAAATGCCAATTTAAGCAAAAAATCGGCTAAAATAATGTTATTTTATTTTAGAACAAGGTTACCATGCCAACAGGTAGGAGTTAATTTTCCCATTATATGTTCTATTCTGATTCCATCTGTGCCAAAAATAACAAAACCAAACGATTTCTAGGGGTCACGAATTCAAAATGAAAATGTCAATTTTAGCGGAAAATCGACCAAATTAACATTATTTTATGTTGGGACAAGGTTACCATGTAAACAGTTTGGGGTTGATTTTATCATTTTTTGCTCCGTTCTGGATCTAGCGGTGACAGAAATAACGATATCAGACCACTTTTAGGGGTCGCGAGCTTGCATTGGAAGTTTTATTATAAATATGGAAAGCCAATGTGTTGCAGCGGTCCTGATGACTGTGGGACACCGTGCAACATTGCTTTAGTTGTATCTTCGACGTGCAGCGGTAAAAGAGAGCACCAAATATATCATTTTGGTTAATGAACAGCATATGCTCATTTACACTCACTGCCCGGGCTTAGACCGTCATTAGTACGTACCTACATAAAACCGTAACTCTTAGAGAACGACTAGTTATGTAGTCAGAGGGCTAAAATCAGTGATTGAAGCTTTCTCATTAGGATCATTTACTTTTCAATGAGTCGTCTTATTCAGCAAAAAAAAAAAAAATAATAATAAATGATCCCCTGGACATGGACAATGAACATTGACCTATCGATACAATCTGGGTGGGAGGGGCATTAAAAGCCGTTACGGATGTGACGATATAACTCGCATGCCGTATATTAACGGAAATATAGCATGAAGTAGGTAAAGAAGTTGCTAGTGGCCTATTTATATCTACAAAGAGATAAAAAAGCACTAAGCTATGCCGGTATGCATGACCTTTGCCAATTCGCTGGCCGACCTCCCCGAGTCCCGGAGTTTGAGAGACGGCTGAGGGAGGGGCGCAAGCTTTACACCACCTAAATGTGTAATGGGTGACTGCTGTATGAGTGTAGCTTTGCCCCTCCCCCACTAACACCCATAACGCAATTGTGAATATGGAAAGATAGCTGGCGGAGAGCATCACAGGAGAGGAACAATGAAACTACATCCTCGCCCCATTATGAAAGAAATATGTTTGCAATCTTGCTGATGACGGACAGCACTGCACTGGCCTGGCCGAACGCGTGCACGACTGCTCGTGACTCCAGTTCTGGGCATGTGCCACTACAAGCAGCTGTTGACATGAGACGGGTGCAGATATCATGTCATGGAACTAGTGCCTGGTGATGGCCGCTGCCAGCAGTATCCTTGCAAGAAATACGGACCTTACGCTGCACTCTACAGGCCCAGTCCAAACCCTCAGATGGTGCTGATCTGAACTCGAATGGCATTGCCTAAAGCTGGAAATTAGGAAGGTGCAAAGTCTAAAAGACTGAGCCAACTCCGAGGCAGAACCTTTTACTGACTCTTGGCATTGCCTGGGGGCCGACACAGTGGGTGGGCCATGGACATTAGGCGGCGGACCTGATTCTCCTCCTCTTCAGCCTTTGCATGCACACTCCTTTATATGATGCGTCCTGGTTACCACCATATACGGCCCACGCAGGATGAAAATCTTCCGCTACATTAGGTTCTTCAGATTCAGACGACAATTACCTGAGATCACAAGTGGTCTGTGCAAGAAGCTGTGAAAGGTCTTTGTCACATATCAACCATGCACGTATCAGCGCATGGCTAGTCCCCCGTGGTCGAATATGAATTCGTAAAGGATCTGCATTGCATCGAGAACTCTTACATGAACGGTGCGTATCTGTCCCCACTAAAGAAATGAAGTATGTATACATGGTTGATGGGCATGGAAAGAATCGACGCCTTGGAGTTAATGTTTTTGTATCAGAAGTTGATGTCTTTGGGCAGAACACCCAGATTTATCCTAACCTGTCTCATAGGTGTATTAAATCGTAGCCGTGAGCGATCAGGACGGCGTTTCTTGTGGAAGTGTACGGCTAAAATGGTTTGATCGTTTTTGAATTACATGGTTTGAAATGCAATCAGAGCCATGATCTGTGAGATGTATCTCGAGCTAATTTGCACAAACTTTAATTGTATGGACACAAAGAGCCTGCCATGAACTGAGATGTGGCAACGTCACATTTTAGTCTGACCTCACAGGTCATCAAACCTCGAAGGTCACTAATGCAACTCATAAAGGCAGAAAATATCAAAAATGATTACACGCTGACCAGAATGATACCAGCAACAGGAGCAAAACATCCCGGCGCTTTTCATCAAACGTTACAATATCGACATTGTAATGATCGCTAGTAAAGCATTTAACCGGAACCACGTGATAAGAGCACATCGATCTGGATGAAAAAGGAGCGTTTAATGACCCCTCTGCCCGACTCTCGAAACAAAAAGTTTGCCTTTGGTGCGATTTACTATCAGCGTAAAATAGGCATATTTCTAGGTAAATACGCAAATTTCAATCTCAATTCGCGACCCCTAAACCACCTTTGATTTCAATATTTTTGGTATCATTGGAATCAGGAGCCGCGAAATAATGGGAAAACCACCCCCACCCACAAATATCCAAAATCGGGAAAAATGGGTACCCCTAGGGGACAGTGCCGGCAACCTCCATATCTGACTCTGAACACCACCTCTTGGTTTGGTATTTTCCCATAACTGACCACTGCTTCGTGGAAATCCTGGAGGATAAGGGATGCTGTGGTCTCGGGAAGCGTTTGCGTCGCTTAGCATTGGTAATAGATATGCGGGTTTTGGTGTGAGCTGGACATGATTTCGCGACGACTATACAGTATACACTTAAACAGTCTATGCTAGCACCTATATATACGGACAGTCTGACATACACATCTGAGCTGAGGTATTGGGCGTTGTTTACCGCTAGCTCACTGTCCGCGTTTGGTCAGGCCCTCGGGCCAACCCACTGGGCCCAGGCGTCAGCTGGCGTCTCCATGGGTGTCTAAACTCTAAATGTCCACCTGACCATATCAGCGGCCGAACTGGTGGAAACTGGGCTAAACCTGCCCCGCGCCGTGCCGTACAGACTGGGAGGGGGAGTGTGGAAACTAGACCGGTACAGTCGGAACGGTGTGGGTACTTGTGTGGGACAGCTGTCAACTAATTGAGATGATTGGACAATGAGTGATTTCTGGACGGGAGGGGAAATGGAGGTGGGAATGTCCCAGCTGCGATGCGTGATAAGTTACACCGTGTGTTTTCAAATGAACTTGTGAATAATGCAAAAACTTAAATATTATTGGACGTATATTTAACTGATGTTTTCATCACCGAATCCGATGAACTTTCCCTCCCGTTCTCCTAGACTACGCATTGACGACGGTGCTAAACAGCGATAAACAAGGCTGATGGGGCGCAAGTTTTCCTGATGAAATTCAGGCCCGGGATAACTCCGTAAATTGCTCTTTGTCTCCTCTGAGGTGTTTATCTTCAGCCCAATTACTGGCGCATCCAACTTCTGCAGCATGCTGGGTACGCGGCTCCAGATAGGCTCTCGCTCCCGGAGGGAAGCGTGGGAGGGTACGGGTAGGTTGCGGGAAGTGCACTGCATATTAGAACAATGAGAATTTCTTGGAACTGTTGGATAGGTACGAATATTTCAGAATAGCCCTTGCGATCTTTTTATAGCATTCGCCATATTTTCGTGTTAACTGTATCCTGTTTGAATGCGAATATGAAGGTATATTTTGAAGCATCTCTGAACGGCTTATAACTCGTTCCTTATTTTTACAGCACGCAGAGTTATATGAAATGCGTGTGGTTTCATTTTTCGGCGTTTCTTCCGTATCTCTGCATTTTCCTCACCCTGTAACCCTAACATCTGACACAGGGTGACTCACCCCCTGAGTCCCTGACCTCTGGCAGTTGCAGCTGCAGCCCCCTTCCCCCAACTACCATACATCGAACGTCGACCAACCATTTAGCACACCTTCTACGACCATTTGCTAACCACGTAAGCTCATGGGCCGTCAGCCGAGACTAACCACTCCTCCCTCTCCCTCAGAACGTGGACCACCGGATGAAGCTGCGCTCCAAGAAGGGTCAGCTGCCGTTTGTCGAGCTGAATGGCGAGGAGATCTCCGACTCGTCCTTCATCATCAAGGAGCTGTCGGCCAAGTTTGAGAAGGACCTGGACGCGGCGCTCAGCACCGAACAGAAGACACTCAGCCATGCCATGATCACCATGGTCGAGAACCACCTCCACTGGTAAGTGGATCGGACCGGCTGTGTTTTGTTAAGTTTTTTTTTTACTATCAGTTTTTGGTTTACTTGTTGCTTGATTGGTTCTCGTATTGCCTCATTTTGTTCTGGAGTCTTAAGTCATTGCTATACGTCGAGTTATTCGTGAAAGCGAGAATCGTTAGGGAGTGGCTTCGGAGTTGTATGAAGCGCATGTGTCTTGGTCTTGTTTTTTTTTGTGTTCCTCGGTTTTTCTTTTGGGAAGATGAGCGGGGAACAAAATAAGTTTATTTTTGTTTCCTGCTAGCATTATCTGCACCCACAAACCAAACAGGTCACCCACAAACCCAACATCTCGCCAAAGCGCGTCATATTTCAAAGTTTTTTTTTGTGTGTGCTCAAAATGCAACCTCCAAAAATAGCTCCTACCCATCAGCTCACACCCGCCGTGTCTCTGGCTGGCTGGCTGAGTTGATCGGCCGCCCGGGGCCGTGTGGTGAGCTGCCTGTCGGTCGGTCTGTCGGCCTGTGTCGGCCCGCGGCCCTCACACTGGGCCGCCGCCGCTTGGTTGGCGGTGCGTGTCGCGGTCGACGGTGCGGTCGTGCCGCCGTCCCGGCTCGTTCTCAGGCCGTGGCGGCGGTGTCCCAGTGGTGGCGAACCTCCCCGCCCCGCCCCGCCCCGCACCGGACCGCCCCGGCCCGGCTCGGTGGGCAGACCTGCACGAGCCGTCAGCCGCGCCTCTGCGGCGGTCTCTTTAGTGGAGCTGCTTACTGTGCTCTGTTACTGAAGCACGGAGCCGCCGCGGCGCAGGAGCTCTGAGAATCCCACCTCCAGCGAGGCCCCGGGGCCCTGTTCGGGAACAGACCCACTGGAGCCTCTCCGACGGCGCCGACAGCAGGCCGCCACTCTGATTGGCTCCGTTTCTGCTTACGCTAACAGCAGCGGCGCGCGCCGAACACGGCGCCGCTGTAAATTGGCGTGCAGACGCCGCGGCTCTGTGTTTACTGCGCTCCATCTGCGAGTGTTTGCTATTGTTAGCTCTCGCAGTTTCCGGGTGACCTGAACCGGCCCGCGCCCGGGGGCACTACCGGTCCCAGGCAGACTCTCGGCTGCCGCCGCTCTTCATGGTGTGTTTATTTGCGTTTGAACCATTATTCACCACGGCTGGGTGACTTAATCAGTCGTCCGCGGCAGCTGTGGGACCGTGGTGACGTCGAGACACAACATTCGTCAAATGATCTCAGTGGTGAGACAGTGAGGTTATGTCTCTGAGCCCTCAGAACTCGGTATTTGTTCCGTCAAAGGCCGTTTGTTTTGTGAGACATTTGTCTATATATGGCTAGGGCTGCTACTCAGCCGGATCCTTTAAGTCCGGCTGGGGGATGTTCATGTTTCTTTTATCTCTAAGCAACAGCTAAGCCAGCCGTTTTTATTGCAGCACCTGCCCTACTTCCAGCTCTAGTTCTGGGAAATGGTGTACGACTTGCGTCAGCTTTGTGCCTCCATTGATCGGGTCGTGGCGTATTGGACCAACTTGTCAATCCCGATCCCCAGTTTCGCCGACGCAGAAGCCCGTCAGACTTGCGCTTCGGCGCCGGTTAATGTGTTGTTTTGGCTTCACTCGAGTGTGGCAGCCGATTTCGCAAGTTGAATGGAAGCCGCCACGCCCCGAGGGTCCGCTGTGCGTTCGCGGCGTCTTGTTTTTCCGGCGCTCGGCTCCCTCAGCAAATCATTATTCCTGTGTCGCCTCGTCGACAGTTTAGTATTCACAGCTCTCGTCGTGCCATTCCGGCGCCTCTCCCGCCTGGGCACCCTCCTGTTCGTCCCCGCCCTATGGAGGTGTGCGGAGACTCCGTCGGCTCCGACGGTAGGTCCGTCGCGTCGGAGACGGCGGGCGGGGCTGCCGAGCCGCTGCCGTGTTGCACTGCAGTGAGCCGGCTGGCACACTCACTTGGTATTGATCGGTGCTGCCGCCGCTGCCACAGGCACCGCCCCTGTGAACGCGGGCGGTGGCGGCGGTGGTTAAAACCCGGCCTCGAACAGACCAGAGAGGTGGAGAGGTATATCTGAACCGACACCGACGTGGGGGGACGATGGTGAGGGTGGAATGGAGTTTGACGTACCGTCCTGGCAGGGGTGCGAGGCGGGAAGGATGGTCGTGGTTAGAGATGGGTGTGGTCGACTCGTACTCAGATCAATAACGGAGGTGCCGCTCAAAGCTGGTCGTCAGCCGACGCCCGACCTGGCTGGAGAAGCGTGTCGCGGAGGTAGAACTTGGCGGATGCTTGAAGTTTGGTGGTAGATGCTGGCGAGTTGTACCATTGCTATAAGTCACTTAACTTATCAAATATAAACGCAAGGAATAGGATTAGACTGCTGTAATTCCTTCACTTTTAGATTGAAACTTAAAAGTTTCATTTTATGCTTTTTGCAATTCAGCCGTGTAAAATTGTTCCTGAAGCTGTCACTTTTACAGATTATTAATCTGAGCGTGCTACGCTCCAACGTAACTGCACATTTAAGTGATGTCTATAAATCATTTTTGTGTTAAACATTTACGGCGTAGTATTCAAATCCGTGTGAGGTTCCGCTGCGCATTGAGTGCTCGCGTGAGGCGTCGAGCCCCGTTGGAATGTGTCTGAGACCTTGGGAGGTCGCGCCGGAGACGGACGGGGCCTCCGCGCGGCGGGATGGGTCAGGTGTCCCAGCTGCAACATGATGCGGGTCCATCAACCCGCTGCTGCCACCGCTGGGACTGGTGCTGGTGTAAGGCTTGGTGCATGGTGTTAGGGCGGTGGTGACAGTGACCACTCACCATTCACCACTAGATCATCACTCACCAGTCGACAGTCAGCAGACAGGCCCCATGTTTCGTCTGCTTCTGTCATTAGCACTTGTCAGCGAGGCTTCCTCGACATGAAATTGTACTGAGCACAGCAGGAGTCCCGTTAGAACATGCGGTTTTGTCCGACCCGACCTCTCACAGGTGGTGGGATAAGTTCGCACCCAGGAGAAAACCGAGATGTTCTAATGACTAAAGGATGTAACCCGAGAGAGGGGTAGCGGTGGGACCGGACAGGACCGGTCTCTGCACCAGCAGGGTGTCTGGGTGATGGCTGGGTGAGGACTCGTGTTTCTGCTGTGCTCCCCGCTGTGATCAGGAGACAGATCAGGTGTCGTGTCCTGACAGAGTAAATTCCTAACGCAGCGCTTATGACAGCGTGTTATGAAGCGGATAACTCACTAGGGGATATCTACCGGTGTTGTCTGCAAGTTACGTGGTTATCTATAGATGAGGTTGGATTCATTATTCGCAAAACGAATTACTGTTGATTATCCGGCGTACTGAGCTGAATGAAGCTCAGACGGCTGGTGCTAAAAATCAGTACCTATATCCGTACCCGTTTTTAGGGCCCTGTCCGTGACCGTACCGGTCATTCAGTAAACTGATCATTTGGCTTCGGCAAGGTCTGACGGAGCGGGCTCCGAGTCTGGGCCTGTTTCAGTCTGTCTGGCCGTCTGTCCGACTGTCTGTCTGTGCCACTTGGCTGACCGTTTGCTCCGTGTGAATGCGGTCCACTGTGGTTTAGCCGGCGGCCAACTGTTCGGTCCCATGTCCGGCCTCAGACGCTCCGACCAATGTTCATAGTCCGTGTCCGAACGGGGCCAGACACCTGTCTCGGTGGCGACCGGGCAGTTGCTGCATCCAAACCAGACAGTTGCTTGGTTTTGACCGGACCACACTGTCTGGATCCAAACTAGACAGTCTGCATCCCGCCCAGACAGCCGCCTGGATCGAAACCAGACATCCTTCTGCGTCCAAACCAGATAGCCGTCTCGATTGCCCAGGCAGCCAATGGCACAGCTGCCTTTATCCCCAGACCAGGCATCTGTCTCGCTCAGTAACTGATTGAGACGTCCAATCGGCCTAATAGTCCGATGGGAGCTCCTGTCACGCCGGTAAACCCACGGGCGAGATGAAGGTGATTTACCGATGGTGCTGGACCTGTCGGCTTCTAGAGATCTCAACGATTGATTTGTTGGGACTCTGAAACTTACGAGAAGGTAGCCTGAAGAAGCGATGTATTGTGATAGCCGAAACTTCACATGTCGGCCTGCTGAATGGTGAGAAGATAAGTTAAATTGTAACACGCGTCATATCAGATACGCATGTCCCAAACTGCTTTCGAAGGCCCTTTCGTTTAGTCATCGTGGCGGAAATCCGTCCATTTGAGCAATGACATCAATACAGCCGCTCGTCTCCAGTTTTATCGTGCACTGCCGGCTCCGTGCCCTCTGCGCCCCGGAAGTTGGTGATTAATAGCCTCAGACGGCGTCTCACGAGTTCTCCTGTCACTGATAGCGCTGCCCTGAGTCACACTCAACTCCCAGAGGCCACTCTGGGTTAGTCGGAATGGCCGCGCGGTCAGCTGACCGGGACTGTTGTGACGTTTTAGCTGTTATCGTTCAGAGTTTGACGCCGGACGAACTTCGGAGCTGCTTTGTGTGGTGGCTCGCGGATGGTCAGTTATCTGGCTGAAAAACATGTGGGGCGCCGGCGGACGCCGTCTGTTTTCCGACAGTGTCTCTCCTCCCCTCTCTCTCTCTCTCTTCCTCTATCTCCCCTCCCGGCTGGTGCCTGCTCTCCCCCTCTCTCTCTACTACTCTGGCATTGATTACCTCGGCAGACTGGCTCATTAAGAAATCATAGCGCTGGATATCCGCACGCGGCGGGTGCTGGAAATGTAGGGAGGCGGAACTGACGCCGGGCCACCCTCCCCTCCTCTCCCTCCTTCCTCACTCCCTCTCTCCATCCCCACGCTCCGATATCAGGCCAGGGCAGAAGCACCGAGCTGTGACGTCATTTCACATCAGTAGTCATTCCCCGAAACCACATGAACTGACCGGTTGGTCATAGGTCACCTGATATGGTCTCATAACCGTCCAATAGGCCCTTCTCAGTTCCCCTTTACCGATGACCCTATGCGGAGAACAGCCGTGCACTAGCATAAAGCTTTTCAGCTAAG